GCGATGATGGCAGGTGGATGGGATGGAAGTGAAGGGGATGCACCAGGATTTCCGAAAGACGGTTGGGTCGTTCGTCACGAAAATTTGAGTAAAGCGTTGTAGTCAACGGATTCTTTTTGGGTAGTTTAACTTCGAGTTATTTTTGAATAGTCAACGAGTTCTTTTTGTGCCCCATTGGAAAGCCCCATGCGGCCTCTCCAGTTCGAAGGAAGGAGTGGAAGATTGTCTTTTGAGAAAGGCGTGGAGGCCAGTTCGATGATCTTGTCCACAGTTGTCGGTATATGTTCTGGTGTCAATGAGCCTAACCTGACAATCAAAGCTACATACAGTATTGAAACACAAACGGAAACAGATCGTACCATTCTCCATGAGGATACACGAGAAGATTGGCCGCGTATCTACTTCTTGTCAGTGACGAAAAAAATGTACAGGAAAAGGAACGTACTGATGACCTCCTACGTGCCCGACCTCCGCAATCATGAAACGACTCGCAAGGCCTCTCGGAGCAGCTTCAGTGCGAGCAGAAATTTCTCGCCGAATGGCCTCCGCGACATCCTTTCCTACGGACCCACATCGACAATCCCTCGCCCCATGGGTGCAGACGTATAGATGAACCGCGCCATCGAATGAACTTGCACCATTTCCGGACAGACAGTCTCTCATCTGCTCCTCCACCATATCCAAGTTTGACATGGTCAAACGCGAGATATCCAGCGTCCTTCCGTTGGCAAAAAAAGCCTTGGCTGATACTTCGTCAAAGTTTTTGCTCACAGGACTGCCGTAATATGCCCAATTGACTAATGCACCCCATTTCGTCACTTTGAGCTGAAGAGCACGTTGAATAGGGACCATAAGCCGCGATGGGAAACGCGATATCGGCTGAGGCGACTGCAAGAAAATATAGCAAAGGTGTGGTGGCATTGTGCCCAGCATTGAATTCGATTTTTCGGTATATTTTGTTGAAAAACGTCTGGAGACTTGAAGGAAGGACATAACACACCTAGCTGACAGGTTTAAAATTTACGACGTCGGGGATGGTGGTAGTTGAACGTTAAGAACGTGTTCCGCATCGGCCCGGAAATTCGAATTCATACCAAGAATAATTAGTTTAAACAACGACATACCCTTCATTGCGTACATATACATGATTTTTTTCTCTCTGAAACATGTGAATTCCTAAGGACCAACCAAGCCAATCCACTCCATTCTCAGATCCCGCCACTCCTGGCTCCTCAAATACGACTCGTCGACATGTTCCCATCCGATGATATCAGTACTTCGCCCAAACATATCAGCGCTGCTTTTGATGAACACGGTTTTCATCAAAAGAATGGTGCCATGTAGTGGCTGCCTTGAAGTCGCATGTAAAAGGGCATTTGCCCTCTCGTTGCGCCGGCGTTTACTCAGTGCCATGTCATCCATAAAGATTTCAAAGCTTCTGTGTAACCTACCAACGCCAACGCCATTTGGCTTTCCGATTTTCTGTAGTTTCAACCATGACGCCAATTTTCCTTACGCAACAGAATATCCCAGACGCACATATGCGACTTGATCTTCCGAGTGAAGTAGCGCACTACCCGTAAGCCGGCAACCAATCAACTTGGCGATTCTAGCTTGCGAACGGTCGTCTCTTTGTATGGTCACTTGGCGAATGGACTGCTTGGCTGATTCGGGAATCACCAGAAAATGCATAGGTGGATCTTTTCCTGCTTTTCGATGTCGCTGATACGCCTTTCTGATTTCAGGAAGGTGAGAATGAGTATGAGGAGGAGGAATGCTAATGCCGTGTGCGTTCGCAATGGCAATAGCTGTCTCCAGAGATCTAGATTGTGCATTAGGGCAAGATGAACCGAGGTAAAGTCGAAGCGATCTTACAAATGTTGAGGGTCAAGAACCCTTAATGCTGCAGTGTTAATATCGTCTTCACATCGAGCCTTCTGCTGTTGCTGCACGACCGTCAAGGATGACGGGTCAGGAAGAAGTTCCAAGGCTTTCTCCCATGCTTCGATACTGTCGCCGTGGTCGTCAACAGCCTAACGTATATTATAAACCTGCTCCTATGGAAGAGAACAACAACTGGTACTGACCTCGCAGGCGGTCGCTAGACGATGCCACCCCTTGATGTATGTTGAGTCAATCGTGGTCGCCTAAATATCCGAAATAAGCTATGAGCGAATTGCGACCATCTATAAGATTACTTTTCGAGCATCGGTGATCGCATCTTCATACCTGTTCAGTAATATCAGCATCAGAAAGTATATATGAACGACGACGTACTGGCATAAATAATAGTTACATGCTGAACGGTTAGCGTACAGGATGGCGTTTTCTCCGTCAACTTTGAGGGCGTCGGTGAACTTTGCTTTCGACAGGGCATAATTTTCCTGCCTAAAATACTCCTTTCCTTCTTCTCGTAGACTTTCCGACGACATGCTGAACCAAATGGTGGTAATTAAGAAAGATTTGCGTGACCGTGTTTTACATTACAAACTACTATTCAGTCAGCAGCGCGCTTTGCCAAACACGACCGAAGGGCAGCCAAATAATATATTTTTTCTTCCAATACCTGACCAATGTCGACGCTTGGCAAACGGAAGGAGCGTGACGAGGAGCCTGTTGGGCATGGGTATGGTTCCGCGGACTCCCAGGAACAGCATTGTACTGATATCTGGGACTAGGTCAACACTCTTTGTTTCCAATCTTCCCTACACCGCGACCTCTGTCGATTTGCAGACTCTCTTTTCCGATATCGCACCAGTTCGCTCAGCCTTCGTGGTAAAGGAAGCAGGAACGGGTGTTTCTAAGGGTGTGGGATACGTCTCTTTTGCTATCAAAGAAGATGCACAGGCTGCATTCGACAAAATTTCAGCTGATGGCCTTGCTCTCGTTGGAAGAAATCTACGGGTCCAATGGCCAGAGAATAAAGTGTGTCACGACCTCGTGTATCTAAGTACAACTTCTATAACAATTTTCTTCAGCCCAAAGGCAAGACCGAAAAGGCGGCAAAGGTGGAATCAAAACCCAAGCAGATACCCATTCCTCGACCACGGGCACCCCAAGATCCCCTGGCGATACGCACCATCATAGTAACTGGACTGCCTTCATCAGTAGATTCCAAAGCTTTGTTATGGAAAAAGTTTCGAAAATACAAGGGTGCAGAAAGCGTAGAATGGCCGGTAGATGAGGGCGCAGGTGCGTTTATCTTTTATGTTACTGCTATCCCGTTTACTCACCTTGGATATAGCGCATGTACTTTTCTCCACTCCTGCGGCAGCGCATGAAGCTGTCGACAAACTCCATGCACATGTTTACAAGGGTTCTCTCCTTTCCGTAGCGCTGAAAAAACGTCTAGACAGCCTGGCAAAGGCATCCAAGGCAGATACAAAGACCGCTGCGCCGAATCATTCTAGTAGGCTTATCATTCGCAATACCCCTTTCAACATTACCGAGCAAGATTTGCGCGCTCTTTTCCTTCCACATGGCCCGATACATTCAATACATATTCCCAAGAACAAAGATAGTGGCCGATCCCGTGGCTTTGCATTCGTCTGGATGCTCAGTAAGCAAGACGCCGAAAAAGCCATGGAGTCGTGTAACGGGAAGGTAATACGCGCTGGGATGGCGGAAGGAATGGTGTTGGATAAGCAGAAGAAGAAAAAGCAACGGAGACTGGAGAAGAAGATGCAACAAGGTGAAGGTGCGAATGGCGACGATGACAACGATGAACCACAGGACGCGGAAAAGTCTTCGGAACGGACAATTGCTGTGGATTGGGCTCTGAGTAAGGACAAGTGGGAGGAAGAGAAGACACGAATGGAAGAAGACGACGATGTTGAGATGAAAGATACGTCGAGTAGAGATGACACGGATGAGGATAGCGACGAAGAGGAACAGCTCGGTGTCCATGATGGCACGGATGACGACGCAGATGACTCTTCTGAAGAGGAGGGTGAGCATGACGAGGAGCCTGTGAAACCTCAACTCCCTCCTCCGGAAACCGGGACAACACTTTTCATTCGAAACGTACCATTTACTGCGACTGAGGACGAACTACGAACATTGTGCGGTTACCTATTGCAACGAATTACCTTCTTATTTACTCTTATCTCCTAGATTCCGCGCATTTGGAGCCCTACGGTACGCTCGGATCACTTTGGATGGATCGACAGGGCGATCTCGTGGTACTGGATTTGCATGTTTCTGGAATAAAGATGATGCAGACAATGTGGTAGAACAGAGCGACCTTCTGAAGGCGGAGACCACAGGTGCTGAACCGGCGGTGAAGAAGAATCCGTTCAGCATGCCATCCATTCTCACCCCGGATCCATCTTCGTCGTTGGCACAAAGCCTCGTTCTTCACGGCCGTACCTTGGACGTCGTGAGAGCCGTAACCCGCGACGAAGCTGGCAAACTCAAAGAAGAGGGTGAGCGAAAACGCGAAAAAGCGGACAAACGCAATATGTATCTTTTGCGTGAGGGCGGTAGGTGTTCTTTTCCCTGAGTGAGATATATTACAAATACTGAAATTGAAATTCTCTCTAGTCATTTTGCCGAACTCGCCTGCTGCCCAAGTAATGGCTCAGACGGAGCTAGAACGACGTACAGCCTCCTTCGGTGCTCGCAAGGCCCTTCTCAACTCCAACCCCTCACTGTACGTCTCAAAGACACGGCTCAGCATACGACAGATACCCATCTTTGTCTCCGAGCGGGTCTTGAAACGGCTTGCCCTCTACGCTGCACGGGAATTTGAGAGTGACGTCAAAAAGGGTGAGAGGAATGGGCTCACGGCCGATGAACTTGCCGTTGAAGTGGATCGGAAGGGCCAGTTGGACGATGATGACGAAAGGAAGAAAAAGAAGAAACCTGATAGTCGTGTTAAGCAAGCCAAGGTCGTCCGCCAGCACGAGCGAGTGGATCAAGTCACTGGGAAGGGCCGGAGCAAGGGGTATGGCTTCGTGGAGATGCATACACATGCCGACTCTTTACGGGTCTTGCGCTGGGCAAACAATAACCCTAATATTGGGAAGCTTTTGCAAGAGTGGTACAAGGAAGAGCTGAAGGATCTCGTCAAGGCCGAAAAGGGGAAGGGTAAAGAGAAGGATGACGCGAGATTGAAGCGGTTGCAGGACGAGCAGGAGAAGGCTGGTCCTGCAGTCAAGGGAACGCTCATCGTAGAATTCTCAATTGAGAATGTGCAAGTCGTTCAGAGGAGAAGTATCCAGCAACGCGAGCGGGCTAGTGTAAGTGCTTTCTTTCGTCTGATATCGTCTCGTTCTGAGTGCATGTGTAGCATCCCGATAAGGAGAAGAAGGATAAAAAGAAGAAGACGAAAATTGATGCAGAAGAGCTGCCATCCGAGCAAGGGCGGCCAGCCAAGAAGGTCCGTACTGAGGAAACTGCAAAGAAAGGCCTGGGGAGGTCGCTGGGTTCATTAATTGGAAGGAAGCGAAAGGAGCGCAAGGGGAAGCATTGATATAGCAAACCCAAGAATGAATGAAACATGTCAATGTTTACATTCTATCTTTGGCTGAGGAAGGATGGAGTTTTTATTCTGCTCACTGTTCCTAAGTCGACTTCGTCCATGATGGCTTAGCTGCGAGCAGTGGCAAGTAATGCAAGAGGTGTTGTACGCCCTCTGAACACATCAGAGGGAATGAATACTTGAGCCTCCCATCCCAAAGTATTGCGCTTCGTTGGTCAGACACAGAGAGAGGATATTTGATATTTTCAGATGTAAGAAGTAAATTTCAACAGGGCTGCACCTTCACCTACGAGCGTAAAGGTTCCTCTCAAATACTCTTCTCTTCCCAAAACGGATCATCAAGTAGTTGTTCCGCCGATGGCCTATCATCCGGGTCCAAACCAAACATCTCCGCATGAAGGCTGCTGTAATCAGCACATCTTCCTTGTCGACGACCTTGTAGTTCCTCAATGATTTCTCGAGCGGGTTCCAGAATGTAGGCGGATCTTGTTTGAGATAACCTGAATGTAAATGGTGTAGAGCAAAATCTCTTCTGAGAAAAGATGGCAGAACACAAGTCGTTCGCTCGAAATATTGAATCATCCGTTGGCTCCATTTAACCTGCTTAGGCTGAAAATCCTCACCCGTGAAGCATATCATCTGCCACAAGTGTCCTGCAGCAGCGTCGAGACCACGATCCGGGTAAGGCACGTATTCGAAAAGGTTTTGGCCAGTGATAAGTTCGAATACCTGGGGGGAATAACTTTGATCAATTGCCTGGCATAGAAAGCAGAATAAATGGCAGCGTGCGAGGCAACCGAAGGTCCAAATGTCGACTTTTTAAGGAGTTATGCCGTCCGTTGTCCTGTCGTCCGGTTCTACGATCTGGGCTATCAGCAAAATATTACTTAATAAAGGCACCAACATGAAGAGAAGGCGTACACACCGCTCCCAAAGTTAGCAATGAAGAAATTCCTCGTAAGGAGGTCATCGAGAGAGCTGGGAAACGGAAGTTTGCATGGTGCCCTGCCATGCTTGCTCTCGAATATTAAGACGAGGGGGGGGGCGTGCCAACAAAGATGGGATGTCCAAGCTGGGATCTACATCAAACATGATGTTGTCGGGCTTCAGATCAGTATGCGCGACACCTAAGCTGTGAATCTGCGCTAGGCCTGGCAACACATGACGAAGAACGTGTTTCGCCGACGAAAGAGGAAGATAGGGTTTTCGGGACCTCTCACCAGGGATCTTACATCTCCGCCTGTCAAGTCAGTAACGATGCACAAGTGGTCGCAGTCAATGGACACTTTTCCAGGCGTGGTCGAGTAGGTTGAGGCATCGAGAAGGCCAGGCAGTAGGTGTCTGCATGCTAGCAAGTTATCGGAGAACTCTGAGCTCATGCGAGATGCCACGATTGACGATTCAGTCGCGTATCCTTTCAAAGCTTTGACAGAGACAAACTTGCTTCCACCGGTGAATATTTGAATCATAAGAGAAGGTCAGGTAGATGAAAAAGGACAAACACCGACGAGCAATCACGCGCAAGCCATACACTCGAGTTCACGCCCTATCCTTGTTTGCGCAATATCTCGTAGGCAGAATTTGGACCCAAAAGGTGGACCGAGCTCAACGGTGATTATCCTTCAGTGCCGTGGAAATGTAATTAATCTTATTTCACAGGTTTTCAATCTGGCCGCATTGATAAATGACTACATATTCGAAACTGTAAGCTATTGCCTCCGTCAGAGCATACTTCAGTTCACCTTCCTCATACAAACTCACTAGCACCCTGATGTAACTGTTGCACTTACCCATGATGAACACCTGTGGGGAGGTGTCATGGACAAAGTGTGTTGCTGTGTGTTTCTGATGTCTTCTGGTTTCATTAACTGCCATGCTAGGTTCATAATTCGCTTGACGCTGCGGAGCTTGCGAAATATGTTATCGATAATAATCTAGTCCTTATCAACCAAGGTAAGATATCCTTTGTAATAGTTATGCTTGAGTTGTAATAATGTATCTGCTTTTTCAGGCTCTGCTAAGTAAAACGGCGGCCTAGTACAGAACAAGACAACCTCCCAAGTTATTTTGTTCGGTAAGGACATCAACTTCCAAATGACAGAAACTAATTGAACCCACTTCCCATGTAGCCAAAACGACACCTCTAGCACATGTGTACTCGCCAGCGGTCTTTGCATAGATATTACAATGATGATGCCTTGTGGAACGTATGCTATGCGAGCGTGAGAACGGGGTATTGGTAGAGAGAAGGCCAGGTTATACATGAAACTACGATTCTCTCGTCCATGGTTGCAAAAACGACATGGAAGGGACCTGCAATGCAATCAAGAAGGATTCCGAAATCAATGATAGTCGACGCAGTCGTTGGGTTTATTCCCCGGAACAGAACCAAAGCGCGTAATAGAAGAGGCGCGAATGTCGCTATAGTCCGAGATGGTGCTCTTAACGTTGAGGGGGATCAAATGCATCCTTTCGGTGCAGAAGGCGCCCGGTAACACGACGAGCACACGGATGTTGAGTGGCACAAAGGGACGATAATTCCGATGGATTATCGTGTGGTAGGCCCTTCCCTAGCCGAGTTCACATAATGCTGCTTTGAAAATCGATGGTGGGGTTGGCATATCTGAGGTAAAACTGAAAGACAGGACGGACAGAGATAGAACCCTGAATCGTGTGCGCAACGGCAATATAATGGCCTGGGGAAATGGTCGATATAAGTACATCAGGAGCGGAAATACATGTTTAATTGTACGTATGATTGACGCCACGGTAAAGGTGATTCTGTTGATACATTGTCTATTACTATGATTGGTTGTATGCGTGTCATCTATGCGTAAATGTCATCCTCTCTCTTTCATGAACACGCACCGGGGACGGCCTCGTATTGAGAAATTACATCGACTTTTGCGGCCGAAGCGGAATTGGCGTCAAAAACGTAGCCCAGCCATTCCTTGGCGAGGCGACGGGCGAGCTCAATACCAATGACGCGCTGGCCCATGCAAAGAACTTGAGCGTTGTTGCTCAGAACACCCCGTTCCACCGAAAAGCTGTCGTGAGCCGTGACGGCACGAATACCAGGGACTTTGTTGGCGGAAATGGCGACACCTGTTTGCAATTGTCTTGTTAGCTCGTCGAGTCGCCCTATCAGACACGCCTGCTACACACCTAGACCAGTACCACAGATCAACAGCCCACGGTCAGCCTCGCCTGCGACAATCTTCTTTGCGGCTGTGACAGCGACGTGGGGGTACGCTGTCTTCTCATTCGAATCGACAACGCCGACGTCGATGACCTCTGAGACTCGAGGATCCTTCTCCAGGTCGGCTTTCAGCGCGTTCTTGTATTGGACACCAGCATCCTGTCGCAAGCTTAGACTTGTACAGAACAAGGCAGAGGCAGACTCACATCGCAGCCCACGACGACGCGCCATTTTGGAGGTGCTGTATCGGACATTGCGTGGAATACTGGGAAACGAAGGATACGGTCTGTGCAAACAGTGGAGGGGACTCGGAATCATATGTGCCCGGACCGGGCCGCACTCTATATCGACCTTCGAACGTTCTTATTAGTGGTGCTACCGGCTCTCTCGATATCTGGATGCTGCTTTTGTCTTGGTGCTCTCATCTAGGTCGATATCGATATACTTCTGATTCGCATTTTCACTTGTGGTTAAGTTCCGTACACGTTTACTGAGATCGTCCGACAGGAGTTGGAGGCATTCGACAACATGGCGGGGAGGATGCCTCAAAACCAGACACCCCGAACAACACTTCCCCATTCCTCCAACGTAGTCCTCAACTTATCCCACTTGGTCCGCAAGTCCTTCTCCGCATCGTGGCCCAACAATAACCAAGTAGGCCAAGCCTTTCCTTCTGCTGAACCCTCGCCTCTTACCGTATCGACCAGTGTTTCCATCGCTTTCACAGGGTCGCCGGGTTCCGTCCCCGGAACGGAACCGAAGCGTGCGATAGCGGAGGTGCGAATATCATCGTAGTCCGAAATGGGGTTCTTAACGTTGAAGGGGATCGAATACATCCCTTCGGTGCGGAAGGCGCCTGGTGCGACGAGGAGCACACGGACGTTGAATGGGGCTAATTCGGAGCTGAGGGATTCGGTTATAGCTAGAGATAGTTCGAGGGGAATGATAAGTATAAGCAAATTACAAGACAGACAGAGAGGGTTTGCCATGAATAGCTGCTTTTGATGCTGCGTACGTTCCGATCCCCTAAATGTCAGTCAAATCATGCTCAACGACACGAATGATTGTTACCAACCGCAGTATCTGCCCTCCATACGGAGCGACTGCCGATAACGACTATCGTTCCTTGCTTTTGCGCCCTCATATAAGGGAGGACGGCATTGGTGACATCAACAACAGCAAAAACGTTTGTTTCAAACTGCTCTCTCAGCATTTTCGTTCTTATTCAACCATAAGCAAGCGGAAGCTTCGTTATATTATCACTCACCCACTCTCCTCTAGGAGTCCAAGGCATCCGGTGCCAGCATTGTTTACAAGCACATCAATCTTTCCCCATCTCGAAACGGCGTCGTCGACTGCAGTTTTGATGGCGTCAAAACCTGCGGTAACGTCTAACTGAACGAGATGGAGATTTCCAGAGTCTCCGGATGGGTGAAGGGCTTGTAATTTTGCTAGAGAGCGTGCGGTGGCTACCACACGGTCACCTCGAGCCAAAACAGATGCTACGAGCCGTCGACCGAGGCCTGAAGTGGTTCCTTGAAAAGCGTGAGATTGGTATTCCCGCCGAATGACTCATAGAATAATGTACCTGTGATTAACCAGACGAGCTGGGGGGACATGGGCCTCGACGATGACTCTGGTTACAGCAGCAAATCAGCAATGCTCCACAAAATCTCTACGAGTCAGCGGAGGAATCTGATAGAGAAACGACAAAAAAGTTGGTCCGGCTTCAAGAAACTGCGTGCCGGAAGCGGGATATGGAAAATCTCGGCAGAAAAGTCTGGAGCGTTCAATAGTCACTTATGGTATGCTATGACATAGGTTCGAGCAATACATATATGGACATTGGAAACGTAATTCTCGCCTATTTTCCCGTCCATCTCTCCCATCAACAGGTCTGTATCGCTGCCTGTCTACGAGGCTACCTATTCTCAAGCCACGTGCTTTAACCAAGTGTTTCTCGAACTCCCCTCCACCCTCCCGGACTGGTCATCCTTGTTTGGGGGACAGCCAGCTTATTTCATTCGACATGTTTCATAAGTATTCTCTTTCTGGAGTCAACTCAGGAACCTCAGGTCTCCTGCTTCGTGTATGTGTAAGCGATCTTGGGACCACAACCATCAACTACTTACTGATGCATCACAATTTATTTTTTTTCAATATCGTTTTAGTTGATCACTACTGTCTAAAATTACATGTATCTTTATCTAACACGATACATATCAGGGTTTTCGAAAGCTTTGAATGCCAAATCGGATCACTCCGCCACAAACACATTTTCAGTGTTCACTGCCACTGTCTCTGGATTTTCCCAGCAAAACTCCCGTCACGGGGCCCGCCTACGGGTCTTTTGACGCTTTGGGGACAAATTCTCCGTCACCACCAGCTGGAAAGGCATCTTTCAGGGATGAGAGGAGAAATTGACTATGTAATGTCACGAGGAACAAAGAGACTGGCGATCTCGCCTCAGTGACTGAGTACTGGCAAGGTCATCTTTCCGCGACTCTTTATGTCCAGGATCTCGAGTTCGATCAAGATTTCATGCCAATGACGACTTTCAGAGACGCGGGTTTTTGGAATGGGCTTCGTGTCGTTGTGCCTGACCGCTTCGAATCTCACGGAAGCAAAGGATATTGCACAGGCCACAAGCATCACCTCTTTGATCGCTCAGGAATCCTTCATCATGACACCAGCTTGGCTAATCTGATGTGTCAAAGGAGAGACGGAAAAATCTGTGGTGTCCTCAATGATCAAAGTTACAGTCATAACTTTGATTCGTACTCCTCGGTTGTCTCGAGTTCATCTCTCCGGCATAAGGATACCCTGCCTTACATGATTCATGACTTTCTGGGTTAGTCAGACGTTGACTATCTGTATCGCCCTGACATCGAAGCCCTCTACTACGTTCTACTGCTGCTCTGCTTACCATTACGAGATTTGTCCGGTACGCAAAAGGACGGGTCTTGGTGGACTTCAAAAACCTGAAGACAGTGATTTCCGATCAGTGGTTTGACAGAACGATCATGACGGTTACTTGCCGCCCACAAACACAGTTTCCTGACCGGTCATCAGACAATTTCTACGCCGGCCTCATTTTCTGTCTTTCTTCTGTGGCTCGATATTTGTTTGCAGGAGGGATGGCTGCGCTGGCAGATTCAAAGACCAGATGCCATCAGCAATCTCCTCGAGACCCGGGAAAGGGACATTGAACGTCTTGTGCCCTTCGACAACAAGACCATCGTAGGCATATCATCTACTCCAAAATTGTGAAAATCATGTCGAATCAATGGTCATTCCCTAGTCGTTCTAGTGAAGGTTACCAAATTAGACAGGGCTAGCATTCAAATGTAAAATCTTATTTTTCAACTTAGAAGTTCCTTTATGCGATATGAAGCTCCCTTTAGCCTCAGAAAAAGATCCGCTATGGAAGTAGCAGCACGTTAGTATGCTAGTCCGAGCAGAAAGTATATCCGAGCCTTTTCAAAGTTCTTTGCTTTATACTTGCATTTCAAAAATTATACGGTAATACAGTAATAGTAAAGTAAAGACGTAGAATGAAATGGATAGGAAGTGAGCTTCAAGGTTGAACGTAAGGTTCATAAGAGTCGGAGTTGATCGGATGCTTTGGCCCGGTACCGATCGGCAATTACGAATTACAAGGCTCTTCCGCTTTTCCGAGCTTCCGGTCAGCGCAAACAAGCAGATGAAACATCCCTGCCGTCACTATGGCTGCACCAGACTTGATGAGCGCCACTAAATATCAGTATCTTCGAGTGAAGACCCCATTCTCATTCCGCTCTTTTCGTTTGATCATCATGGATGTTCATAATTTCATATGAGCGTTCGGGCTGCTCGGACTCAACGGGCCATATCATAATTTCTTTCCACTCTTTGTGGAGATACTTAAGTATGATTTTTAAGTATTAATATACTACAAACGGGTAGTGCCGTCGACCCTGAAGGCGAGAGGGCCAACATCGAAAACGGTTCAAACGGTTCCTCGACCTTTACGTCTTGCTTCAAAGTTCCCTTAGGACCAACGACTCTCTCCCCGACTTGCCTCCCTAGCACTGTAGGTACCGTGAAGTCGACGTTAAGGGGAAAACCGCTTGGACAGGATTTTCACTCCACGTGGATCGCCAGTGCCTGGTGTAAGCTGTGCTATACAGTATTGAGACATGAAGATGTTGACAGTTTCCCCTCAGATTGCTACTTATACTTCACCCTCGTCGCCCAAAAATTTTCGACCATGGTTCTTCGCGAAGTATACCCCTTCAGGCCATCTTTGCTGTTGTGGCTCGTCGTGGCGCTCTGCCGGGCGGTTCGGGCGGCATCGAATTACATGGATCAGGTGAGGTTTCACTTCTGTTACCTCTTTGAATTGGACGTGTTCTAACGCTTGATAGTCGTTCTACTTTGACTATACCCCATCGTCAGAAGCAATAGCAGTTCCAGTGACGGGTAAGCCTCTGCATCTTCTGAGAAATAGGCTTGAATTCAGTATATCGATTCAGCTCAATGCGAGACGATAAATGTCGAATGGCAGCGGACGGCAGCATCTACTGGGTGCGCTTTATCATCAGTCTTCTATATTATTGCGCAACTGATACGTGAGCCGTTCGCAGCCCAAGTCCTTCTGCCCCGTACTTCCTTCAAATATACACTTCGTAAGGGATACGCTTCTTGCGATTGTCGCGCATGTTTACTCTGTGGTAGTGCCTTCGTGTTTCCGTTTATCATCCCAGCGGGCAGCGGTACGACTTTTGTGAGTCCTTGCATCGGCCCTTGATATATTTCTGTTGAGCGTTCCACCTTTATCAAATGTAGGACTGGGAAGTGCCTTTCGGGCCTGGAACACTAGTAAGGACGATCAACCGTACACCTCATTTTTTCCTGACATTATCTGTACAGTATCAAGTCTGTATGTTCGACAAGAACGGTTACACGGGGGGATGTCAAGAGATCTACACGATGATCACCAATACCACCACTGATACCCCGTCATGTTCAAACGCCTCCTTCCCCCTCGGACCTTTAGAAATTGATGCGCAGGTGCAAGATGGCCCGCTATCTCAGTACGGCTGGATAGATCAGGTGAGCGGTACATTGCCAATTAATCGTTCAAGTCCGCTCACACATCAGTCACAGTGCACTGATATTGCAATTACACCAAAAAACGGCACTCCTCCATATACCCTGACTATAGCGCCTACACTTCACCCACCACGTAACATTACGATTAATGACATGAGCACTGTGAACTGGACGGTCGATCTTTCATGGGCGTCACCTTTCTTCATCAGTGTCGTCGATTCTCAGTTTAATTTTTGGTCATATGGACCTCTTCACAGTGGTGACGGTTCCACCTCATGCCTTACGCAAGGTGATGTAGAATCCAGGTGTGTGACGTCTCTAATTTACCCTGGGTAAGTTTCACTTAACGTCTCTCCTACCTAGTTCATCAAACGGTCTGTCTACCGGAGGAGCTGTAGGCGTCGGCATAGGCGGTCTAGTCGCCGGTTTACTCGCAGGTGCACTCGCCACATTCTTCTTCCTCCAACGTCGATCACGCAAAGACTATCGGGCCGCGTCTTCGTCCAGTCTCGATAACCTCGGACATACGACATACCGTCCTGCATCCTCGTCACCTGTTCACCACTCGCCACTGCAAAATGACGGGTATCAGATCGAACCTTTCTCGATGGGAGGAGAGGTCCAGAACCAGGAACTGCACACATCGCCGAGCACCACCGATTTTGGGGTGACTTCGTCTAATGCATCCCCTCCGCCAACACGGCAGTCAGGACAAGTGTATGTGGTACACCACGATGGCGGGAGGGCACCCGTTACTGTGTATCACGAGGATGGCACGCAAGTGGTGGAGCTACCGCCACGATACGCTGATGGGGCAGACCAGAGTCCCCCTGCTTCAGACGCCAGAAGTAGGAGCGACGTCGGGAGTGGAAGTGATGGTGTTCGTTCGAGCAGTGATGGACTGAGTTCTGCGCTCAATCAACCACGACAGCCAAGAAACGCCCCCCGCAAGAATACTTCCGTCAATAGTCAACGCAATCTAACATGAGGTCCTTGTTTTCTTTTTCGTTGTAGGTATATATTATCTGATATGATCATGAGCTGCATAATATACCATATCTCTTTACTTATGGCATTCGTACTGACCGTGACGTCTTTCATCACACGATTTCTAACTTTTCAATTCTCATCGCTTTATATCATTGCGTTTTTAGAGCGCTGTATTATCAGTAGCCTTAGTATATCATTGATCAAAATTATTCGTTATGCGTATAAAAATACCAATGCATCAATTCGAGAACAATGTGCGGTAGATTTTGACGTGTAGAGGAGCTTTTGCACGCTCTGCGCGGTATTCCCTCATCTCTTCCACTGTGAGCCAAGATTTTCGTCCAGACTAGAGAGGAACCGGGTTATACATGTAGAAGGACAGATGAAACGGACAACCTACGTCGAGATCGATCTCCGAGGCTCGCTTGGGCAGTTTCCGTTTCCATACAAAGCCGATAACGTAAAAGAGAATCATCACAGGTGCGGCGAGATATGCCTCTGCAAAGGAAACGTCAGAAAAACGTCGACCGTCACTGGCAAAAAATACTGACCAAAGAAGGCTTCTGCTGCAGCGGTCCCACTAACTGATTCGCCAACTGGGAAAATAGCCTATGCAGAGTAAGGAGAATGGTTAGATATTCCTAAGGGGAGCCACTTACGACGTAGAATTGGGCAATAAGAATAAGGACGATAAGGACGACTCCGAACCATGATCCATAAACACCACCCATGGCCTGGTAGGGAAGCTCCTCAAGGGAATGTCCCTGGACTTTCCACGCAGCGCGGAAGCGGATGCTGAACACCAAACATGAGTGATTTCTGTCGGACGAGTTCAAGGTTACAACATACTGGCACAGACAGATTGATAACCATGTAAAGAGAGTCGAAAGACCCGATATAGCCAAAAGCCAAGTGACTACCCGTTGTCAGCGTTATCATCATGATGGGGATACAGAGAAATGGAACCCACAGACGGTGTCGCCGGCAGCAACTACATTGACGTATGCGATGGGGGCAAAGAGGAGCAGGCAGATGACGGATGCAAGGGGCCGACTGGACTTGTCAACTAAAACATCGTGTGGGATGGGGATATTCAGATCCAAGACGAAGACGTACTATATTTGAAGATGTTAGGAGCATAGCCTTGCTCTGCCAAAGCGGTCAAGGTTCGAGAGCCACCGTACACACAGGAGAGACCAATAGAAAGGACGGAAACACAGATGGTGGCGTTGACAAGGTCTGATGCAAAGGTTAATTTTACGCGAGCGCTGCGGAGTACGATACATACGATTCAATCCGTTGATGTTAGCCAAGTCCAGGGCAATAACGAAAGGTGATGCAGAGGCGCCGCTACCTCCAATAAGACGGTCCTCAGTGTAAGGAAGCATCAAACCGATGATCGTCAGGGAGGTGATGTAGATAATAGTCTGTAAGGTAAACAAATCAGATCGTGCCTTGACAACTACAGAGCGGAAGCCATACAATACGCCAGAAAGTTCCCTTAACGGCACCTGAGCAAAAGAAGTAAGTTTCCGGCCGTGCCAGGGAACCAGATGGCTTACCGGGCATAGTTTCACGAGGGTTGGGAGTTTCTGAAGCAGCGAGACCGACCAATTCAGTACCAGCTGATGATGTGTCAGTAATCTCCGTGGTGATGCACCGCCAAAGACATACCGAACGAAAAGGCAGCTGCGGATAACAGTAAGAATACGTACAAGATTTGGTGATGGAAACGCTTACCAGTAACAAATACTGCGCAAACGCCTTTAAAGCCATTGGCAAACGCGCCCGGATCATGCCAGTTTTTACCACCGACGTATTCACCAAACTCTCCACTCTTTGGTCCCCCGCCGGCAAGGCAGATACTTTTAGAGACTCAGTCACCCAAGTTTCAAGCCCATGAACCGTGGAAGACGCACATGCCAATGAAGATGAACATAACAACTACCAGTAACTTCAAACATGAAGACCAGAATTCTTCTTCTGCGAAACCGAGAGTACCAAATATGCTAGCGATCACTGTTACATCCTCAGCATTCATTGAAAGGGAGGATTTCCAAGTAACATACTGATGACTACCCAGAAAATGGTGATCCAGGCGGCAATAGGGACGGCATCTGTCCAGTACTGCACCGTTGTACCAGCGACAGTAATTTCCAGAGGCAGAGTGGCGAACCATTGGAAAACGTAGTTCCAACCCATCGCGAAAGCGAATGCGGGGTCGAGAAACCGGTCCGCAAGCGTATAGAAACCACCAGACACGGGGTACAAGATGGACATTTCGCCAAGAGCCTGTGTACGTAGGAACGTGAGAATAGATTAGTCCGACCGAGAGAAAAAAACGCCCACCTGAGTGACATTGATCAACATTATACCGATGAGAATCCATGCGATCAAGACACCAGCAGGACCACCAGTGTGAAGAGCGGAACCAGAACCGACGAAGAGACCTGTACCGATACTTCCACCTACAGCGATCATGTTCAAATGACGCCTCTTCATCTTGGGCTGAAGCATAGGGGCATCTGCCTTTAGGTGCTCGACGTCGACATGATCTCCAGCTACCGCTTGTTGTCTGGAATTCCAAGTCAGTTTCTGGTCTAAAACGACGAGAAAAAGAACAACGCACCCGGTAACACCTGGTGCACGCTTGAAACTCTCGAAACTGAGACCAAGACGTGTCCATATACTCTCCTTCGAAGGATCGTAGAAGGCAGGATGGTCGACTGGCTGCACGTCGCTGCTGCTGGAAATAGTATCCAACTTTTCCTTATGTTCCATGGTGGTAGAAGCGAGGGATGCAGAAGTGGGCGGATCAAATAGAACCAGCGTTTATACACCGGACGTCATGTTGCCTGGATCAGAGTCCACATGTATGATAAGAACCTATGCTCATCATACAAGTTCATGGAAACGTCCCATATGGTCACGTACTGATAAGAGCCTCCTTCCTAATTCGACCAACCGACCGTATAATTTACCTGGATCCCCAATTCTTTACTCTGTTTCTGTTTTGCGTACGCGCCGGAAATGCGGGGTTTCCGGCGGGACATGGAATGCCTCTATGGAACTGCGTTCGACTGCGTCGTAGAGGACTCGGAATCAATCCTTATGATCCATCTTAACGCCATGTGCCAAACCTAAGGGCTAGAGTCTACTCGGAATGTGCACACATTGAACCTGGGCCTATAATAATAGTATTGAGAACTTTGAAACGCGAACACAGACCGTGCATCGGAACTTATACTGAGCTTGGACGCCAAAAGGGAACCTTTTCAAGATCAATGCTATCACTACGCGGCTCTTGGAGTAGTCGGACCCCGTGTGGAATTAAGTATTTGGATCAATCGACTTGTCATGTTGATGGTGACATTGATGGCTTAACAACGCAGGCCGCTGCGAACAGAGATCCACAAGGTATGCCGGAGCTCAGCGCCTAGCTCGTATTCTGGTTTCTCATTCATCTGGGGAATACAGATGGACCACAAGAACTCTCCTATGTGAAGACGTCAGACCGAAGGCGAGAAAAAGTAGGGTCTGATCGAGTCTATGGGTACGAAGATCCGCATTTGGACGGCTCGAGTGGTGTTCGTGGAATGTATACTGTACGAACTCCTAGAAGCTAGCGCTGTCAAGATCCTTAGCACGGCCACAGATACCAAGAAGCTCCAAGGAATGCGGTGAAAACGGGGGTGGCGCAGAGATTTGATGACGACCAACTTCGCCCGGTGTAACTCTGGAATAATGATACCGCCAAGTGACTTGTATACTTCAGGTGATAGCGGCACAAGTACACGGAAAGACGAATTAGGAGCATTCCGTGCTGCATTCATACAGAGATGTCGTACAGTACAGTAGTCGACCCTAGCCCGTCTAAGACGCATGGAGTCTATTTTGATCCAGGAGACCGGTGGTAAGAGATGAGGTTCATGTGTCGTCCTGTGGAGTTCTCCGACGTCGGAATATACTTCTACTTTTATTAGATTCAACAGCTCTAAATCAAAAAAACGAGAGCGAATCACTGAACAAGAATTTCAACAGCCTGACATACAGCACTCGCGGGAAGAAAGGTCGCGTGAGTAGAAGTTTTCATCGATTCGGTTGGTGCCGGGGATCGCAGCAGAAATCGACAAATCCGCCAGGTACCACAACACTCAGCAAGTTCCGCGCCATCCAAGAACTGTTGTCTATACGAGACCGAGACAGCATGGAACCCATAATGAAGGGAGGTATTTTTATCTCGACGCCATATGTCGTCGATCGAACAATTTGACCGCCTCTTCAGGGACTGCTGATAAGCACCTGCTCGGGTTAACGGGGGTTCCGAAGTTGTCATAGAGTATAGAATACATCTATCGAGGCACCTTTGACTTTATTAATCCATGCAGGAAACTGGGCTGAGTTAGGAAGGGGAATTGTGACGTGGGTGGGTGGGGAAGCACTCACCATCGCCATGGCCATCAACGCGACCCTATCTCCTGGCTCAAGTAGCCTCACGAACTCGTGTGAGAGACCCACTAGACCTCTCATAGTTCGTTGCTTAGTCTTTTCATTTGTACGTGGCCAGATAATCGTGTGTTCCTTGTAAAACCCTTGGGCAGTAACATTTACTCCGACGTGCCATCTGCTTCCCTCCTCCTCGCGAGATCGTACTTCAGCGGCTCGTGCTGCACTGCGCACATCCTCCGGGAACTCTAAGCCCTCCCGGTACAGATCTACAGGCATCCTCAGGACCTCGCTAAGCCACCACGGTTCACCGCATATTATTGCGGCCTCAAACCAGGTCCATGACCCCTCGTAGGTCCCTGGTGAAGGGCAATGAGGTACGAGGAAGATACGAAAAGCATCAAACTTACCCCGGTGCTCTGGTTCTCCTCCATAACCCTGGTCACAGCTCTCAATGACAAACTTCACCGAACGCACTTTGGCGTCTTGGGGGACAGGAGGGGAGACGATATAACACCAGTCGGCCTTTGGAAATGTCTCTCCGGTCGGAACAGCTGCAGCGCGCACCTGTATGCGGCGCCTTTCGCGGATACACGACCAGTACTGAGCAAAGTCGAGTATATCATCGATAATCTCGACAGGGAGGTAGTTGTTCAGAGTACGTTTAACAGAGATGACTTCGTCGTCAGATGGGATGTGATCTTCATGCTCATTCGCTTCGTTCGTCCTCGTACTTGAACTCAATCCAGATATGACAGTGTAGCGTGGGTACACAGTTGAAGATTGTTCGGATCCCATGTGCCTTCAGGTGAATGAGACAGATTCGATACTTGGAAATAAGCCTTTGTTAAGCTGCAGCTGGATGCAAGTCTGTATAATACGATTTAGAGTCAATAATAATGCACTCACAAGGAAAGGAGCCTTTACGGGGAGGAAACAGGTAGTTGTCGATGATACTGGTGTTGGTCAACGTCGAATACATGTCGGCGAACGTGGCCTTCATCGGACATTCGATCCGAAATCGGAATCTCTTTGGGGCGTTCTGTGATGCGTGACATGTCACAACTTTCGTCATCGCGGTCGACGTCGGGTTGTAATTTCATTCTCAACTCTCATGCTTTCACGAACAGTGCAGCGGGTGCGTGCGCAGGATACATTTCTCTGCTGTCTAATGCTCTACGATAGACCGCTGCGCGTCGTCTTCGACAGCAGGCCGGTCGATGGACGAGTCAGCGAGGCCTGGCGACCCCGACCGATCCTTATGACGTTGTCGTCATTGGCGCTGGTGAGTAGGGTGCTGCAGACAACGATGATCTTCGAGCTCATCTTTTCCAGGTCCTGGAGGTTATGTCGCTGCTATAAAGGCTGGTCAACTGGGTCTGAAGGTGTTCTCCACATCTTTCCAAAAAAATATCGGCTTTACTAATGCAGTTTACAGACCGCCTGTATTGACAAACGCGGTCCTCCCGGTGGAACTTGTTTGAATGTCGGCTGTATACCATCAAAATCCATGCTGAACAACTCCCACATTTACCACCAGACGCAGCATGACCTGCAACGGAGGGGTATTGACGGTATGTCTTCTGTGGGCGCCGAATAGCGTGACATTGATGATATTTTCAGTTAGCGGTGTTAGCCTGAACCTTCCCCAGATGCTCAAGGCCAAGGAACAATCCGTCACCGGTCTTACAAATGGGATCGAGTTCCTGTTCAAGCAAAACAAGGTCGACTACTTTAAAGGTGCTGCTTCGTTCGTTTCTCCTACACAGATTGCGGTCAAGCTGAACGATGGATCCGAAAACTCTCTCGAGACAAAGAGCGTTATTATTGCTACCGGCTCTGAAGTCGCCCCTTTCCCTGGCGGTGGTATCCAGATTGACGAGGAGCAGATTGTTAGCTCAACTGGAGCTCTTTCACTGCCAGAGGTTCCTGAAAAGATGGTCGTCATTGGTGGTGGGGTCATCGGTCTTGAGTTGGGCAGCGTCTGGAGTCGTCTCGGAGCCGAGGTCACTGTGGTCGAGTACTTGGGTGCAATCGGTGGTGCCGGTATTGACGAGGAAGTCGCGTAAGTCTGTCTGATCCTTGGGTTTCCTGTTGCTGATTGTCATCAGTAAACAATTCCAACGCTTATTGACTAAACAGGGCGTGAAGTTCAAGACCAACACCAAGGTTTTGTCTGCGGATAAGGAAAACGGGAAAGTTATCATCAAGACGGAGGCTGCCAAGGGTGGAAAGGAGGAATCCTTTGAAGCGGACGTCGTTCTTGTTGCAGTTGGACGCCGACCGTATGTCGAGGGTTTGAATCTCGAAGCCATCGGTGTAGAGTTGGATCCCAAAGGCCGCATCATCATCGACGATCAGTTCAATACTTCGATACCTAACATCAAGTGCATTGGTGATGTTACCTTTGGGCCCATGCTTGCCCACAAAGCCGAGGAAGAGGGTATCGCTGCTGTCGAGTTCATGAAGACCGGACACGGCCATGTCAACTACAACGCTATCCCTTCGGTTGTGTATACTCATCCCGAAGTAGCGTGGGTTGGAAAGACAGAGCAGGAACTCAAAGCCGCTGGTGTGCAGTACAGCATCGGTAAATTCAGCTTCACCGCCAACTCGCGTGCCAAGACCAACCTTGACACGGATGGTTTTGTCAAGATCATCACTGAGAAGGAGACTGATAGGATCCTCGGTGTGCATATCATTGGTATTCTTTTATTTCTGATTCTATGTATCATGCGCGGCTTAAATCTGATGTGTAGGTCCTAATGCTGGTGAAATGATCTCGGAAGGTGTCCTTGCTATTGAGTACGGTGCTAGTGCTGAGGATATCGCGCGCACGACGCATGCTCATGTACGTTTTGTGGTTTTGAACCTTTTAATCCCTTATTGACGTCGTATCCAGCCCACGCTCAGCGAAGCCTTCAAGGAGGCTGCTATGGCTGCTTTTGGCAAGCCCATTCATATGTAATAAATTTCTGTGGCATACATAAAATAGATTCTTTTAAGTTTCTTGCCTCCTGGCAGGTGGGTTTTCATTGTGGAAGCGAAGGCGTAAGTCCAACTTTGTCACTGTACGACTTCATGGTTGCAAACCTTCGAGGGTTGTTGATAATTTGTAACGCAAATTCTTTGAAATCTTGCGTGCACCCCGCTGTTGCCAATGTGTGATCTCTACAGGAAGGCGCCGCGTTGCATCGCTATAGCTGTCATAGCAAGGCGACATCTGCTGAAAGCACTGTATGCAGCTTGAATGGCTCATGGTGTATTGGACTCACGTCTTCCTTGCTTTGCAGCTTGGGCTTTCTTCAGGGCGACACTGCTTCCCCAGGTATCCTGGATCCTTACTAGCGCTAGAGCTCTTTCACTTGGCAGACAAAGCAACCGTTCGGTCTGATTCTATATATCGTCTTCGGTAGCATAGATGAGGTGAGATGTGAACTAGAGGAAGCCTTGGTATTCGGTGCATCCGTGATTTATTGGTTTGGTTCGTACTTGACGTGATATTTCTCGCCAGCGGGAGGGCGCGCGTGGACATTGCGACGATTCATATAGAGGAATCACTTTTGAGTAACAACTCGCAATCGTCATGAATAAGGTCGATGTACTCTTTCGCAGACTCCTTTACTACAACTGGATGACCTGCGACAGCTCGAAACTACCTCTAGTGTGAGAATAATGGATGGATAGTAATGGTAAAATTTCGTGTATTTGGACAAACATAGATCATTTTGACTACTACAATCACAAATAACATATTGCAATCGTCGACGGGTATAAGCACGTGCTCGAGGTAATGGGTTCCGAAATCGTCATCTAACATAGAATACATCTATCGAGGCACTTTTGACTTGATTAATCCATGCAGGAAACTGGGTTAAGTCAGAAGGGGGGACTTGCGATATCAGAGAGACTCACTAAGGCACCGGCCATTAGCGCTACCCTATCTCCAGGCTCAAGTAGCCTAACAAACTCATGTGAGAAGCCAACTAGACCTTTCATTGATCGTTGCTTCATCCATTCATCTGTACATGGCCAGAAAAACGTATGCTCCTTGTAAAATCCCTGGGCAGTGACATTTACTCCGACGTGTCATCTGCTTCTCTCCTCGCGGGATCGAACTTTAGCAGCTCCTACCGCACTACTCACGTCTTCTGGCAGCTCCAAGTCCCCCCGGTACAGATCTATAGGCATCTTCAGGGCTTTGGAAATGTCTCTTCGACCTGGTAATCAGCTGCAACGCGCTTCTTTACACTGCGACTTTTGTGGGTACATAGTCAGTACTGAGCAAAATCAAGTATATCGTCAACGATCTCGACAGGGAGGTAGTTGTTCAGAATACGCTTGACAGAGATGACGTCGCCCTCAGATAGGATGTGATCTTCAGCACCTTCGTCCGTTTTATTTGTTCTTGTGCTTGGAAGTTCTCCATATACAGCTGAGGATTGTGCAGATGTCATAGCGATCTGCTTCATAGTTAAAATGAGGCATAAATGCGATACTTGGCAGTCGGTGGCCACTGGGTCTTCCCTAAGCTGCAACTGGAAGCAAGTCTGTGTGATAAACAATTTCAAGTCAAGATTAATACCCTTGCAAGTAAAGGGTAAGGGTACTTGTGAGGGACGGAGCAGTGAAGATGAAATGATCGATCGGCCGTTACCTTTTTAGGAGGCTCCTCGATTCCGGATTTTTCGATTTTTGGTCATTTTGGACCAAAAGGTGCTATGATGATGTCAATCCCGGATTTTTTTTGCATTTTACGCCGGAAATTTGACAATGTTGGGGTACACTGGGACGTTGTCGTTGGCCCGCCGGCGGGCTGGTATCTCATCTTTTCCAGGTCTTGTGGAACGTTGCGTGAGTCATTGCCGTAAAGGCTGGCCAATATGATCTCGGAAGGTGCCCTTGCTATTTAGTACGGTACAAGCGGACCCTCTGGTATACTTGCAGGTTCTTTTGATACATTTTTCAATAGTAAATGTGTAGGTCTCCATGCAAGCATCGTTCTTCTCAATCACGAGAGCCAGGAGAGCAGAGTGCAACTTTCAGTATGCGAATCAATGTAGTTCCATGAACGGCCTTCGTCGTTGTTAAAGTAAATTCATTCCTACTGATTTTAGGTCCTCATACAAAATGCATCCTCCACATTGTCTAACTAATTAAAGTCCCACAAAGTTTGCGCAGCCGGATACTTCTCCCCTTTCCCTTCATACTCGAAATGTTTTGCCGTCAATTGCGCCGCGCGCAGAAAGAGTGTCCCATCCAGCCTCTCCGCTCCCTCGAGTTCCGTCTGCGAAAAGTCGAGCTCATCGCGCGGACGTGCCCCATAAAGTGTCGCATAGTGCACAAACGCTCTCTGGATTTTACATAAATGATCATCCGGGTGGACAATTGCTTGCTGAATGATAGCGAACCATGGATTGGGAGCAGACGGCAAGTTCCAGGTTGGGGTTGATGAGCTGGCGGCAGGCTCCGAATCCTGGATCGCTGCCTCGAAGAAGTTCGGTATGTCGAATCCGGGCCGGCCTCGAGCTACCCACCAAGCGAGGGAAACGGCCATGTAACTACGGAGAAGGAGCGCTTGTGAAGGAGGACTGAGATATGCAGCGAAAGGGGATAAAAACAACGACGAGGTGACGAGATGCATGCTATATCAACCATTAATGCGTCGTCACATTCGTTTGTGTGAGAATCAAAAGCCCTACGCACTAGAAGAAATCAGCATAAAACTTCTTTCCAGGGTGAGAACCAGCAACGGCGTATAGGATGGTGTTCATCCACTCCAATTCTTCGATCTTACGATTCACATCCTTGGGATCGAGCGTCCATTGGTTCGCATATCCAAGCAGGGTCTCTCCGTTGTCTCGAAGCGTATATGCGAAAAATTCGGGATCGCTAGTATCCGGAAATTTCAGCGTGTCATCCTTTAGAACCCGTGCTAAGATATCGAAAGCATGGATTTCTGTGTTGCCACTCGGGTCCGAGTCCAACGTGAGATTGGCGGAAAGCTTCCCTGTGAGGGTATCGACTGGTTCGAAGAAGGAAGGAGGGAAGAGCAGTTCGAGTTGATCATGATGAACTGCCGCCTGCGCGAGGCCTAGTACAACCGACCGTATCATTAGTATACAACGCCGAGGCGAAGAATGTTGTAATTACCTTCGACGATCATACCCGGCAAACCGAATTCAAGACCATACCCAGTGTGAATGATGGGATGCACCAAACCACTGAGCAATCGTTTAAGCATAGCCGGCTGCTTGTCCCCAGCAGAGTTGACATTAGCAGATGGTGAGAAGACGAACTCCTCTAGCACCGTCGCGATTCCTTTTTCTCTGATGTTCTCTCGGAAAAAGGTCTTGTACGCCTCGTAATATCTAGAGCCCTCTTCAGCATCGGTAGCATTTGATGAATTATAATACACACTGATCATCTCCCAAGTGAGTAATAAAATTCTCCGAGGATATGTTATTCGGAGACTTGATGGCGGGACTTTGCATGGGAATATACTCTTGATAGACGGCTTCAATGGTTTTCTTGTTCGCCCCAAGGGCAAAAATTGCAAGAACATGGTGGGTAATATGGCTGCCATGGTCTGCTGTAAGCTTCGGAAACGAAGCAGCAGCGTCCTCCACGAGACTCACTTACTTATGAAACCTTAGTAGACGATTAAAAAAGACGTGCCACTTCACATGGTTATCTCGGAGAACGTTCTGTAGAGAAAGAGTTGATTCAGCGTCGACGCCCGGGATGGTGTTCGGAGTGAATTTGGAAAGATGGATGGTGGGTGGTGGGAACCATTCGAATGCGGTGGTAGACATTCTATCAAGTTGGTCCTAAGTCGAGTGACAGAGCGTGGCTTTTATGCTTGTAGTAAGGCGTAAAGAACATCCGCTCAGAGCACACAGCTGATCTTGGTACGTACACGATGATGAAGAGGTGTACCAACTTCCATTTAATCCCTGACAGCCCAAATTGAAGCGCATAGATTACCGTATTTCCCTGAACGAATCAGGATGCGTTTATCAGTAATTAATCAGCGAAACGTCGGAAATACTCATGCGAATAATAAGTGTGGGCTTCATCTATCCGGGGTGAGGGATTCATTAGTTCAACATGGGAAAACCAAGGGAACCAAACCCACGGCCGCGTGAGCGGTAACAATCCACCAAAGAGGCCGACCTAGTCATATGGATCTTCCAAGTAAATCTCATGATTGGCTGGAGATACATCATACTGATGCTGATTGAACTCTATGGCCACTGGCGGGCGGTGGTGAGAAGGTAAGTCCTAAAGAGGCGTCGATTCATTAGTAATTCGTTGCGAGCTTGATGGCGATCCAGACCTCTAGCTTCAGTATTCATGGTCCACTAAGTAGTCATAGTCTTGTACTCGTACAATGTAACCATTAAACTACGAGTATGAGGCTATTGTAATGAGTAGTAAGATAAAGCATGGCGTCGATCAGCAGCAGAAGAATACATCATCGAGATGTACTACTAAGTAGTTATCAAAAAATTAGACGCGTAGATTAAAGCAGACAAGCGAGCAGCAAAAACAAGTGCATACTAACGGCGAATAGAAACGAAGATTGTCTGATCCTAGCGTGAATCAGGGGGGCGAAGATACGGTCAACCCCAATTCTTTGGAGTACGTGACTTCCAGCCACTCCAAGTCCTCCTTGCGACCCCGTTTTGCGCCAGTCCAGAAGCATCGCGGATGTCCTGCTGACTCTTCAGGTATATCCCACAGGAAGCTCTTTTCCGAATACTCGGATGCAGGTGAGTTACACTCCGAGGAACTCGAGCTCAAACTCAAAGTCCTTCGTCGGGTCTCGACGGGGGGCGACGGAGTGAGAGCTTCTAGTTCGGAAGGATCGAAAGGCGGTACGGGCTTACGCTTCACCTTACGCACCGCACGATGAGGAGAAGGATAAGATATAGAGTCCCGCGACGGAAGGGGTTTGGAAGACACAGGCGGAGGTGAAAGCATCACCGGGGTGAACTTGTGCACCTGGGCCTGAACCACGACACTCTCCCTTTGCTTGGGAAAAACAAGGTCCACGGGGACACCGTCACCGAGTTTCCTCCGCAACCGGTCCATTTTCTGACGACGCAGGCTGTTGTTAGTCGGAATCATGAACTCTGGGGTCGTCGGAGAGTCTGGAGGGGTCATAGCTGCTGGGGAGAACGAGTCTGCAGCGAGAGGTGACGCTGGTATGCTGGGCAGAAACCCTGGGGACTTTGACAGCTTCATAAGCGGTGGCTTCGAACTTGGCCATGGTTCCTCGACGCTCAACCGCCGAGATGGCATGGACCGCGACCGCGGCCTGTCAATGGACGTCACCCGATACAACGAACGCGAAGAGTCCACGCTGCTTCGTGACGACGTTGACGGTCTCGAGGAGATTGACTCAAAATCCGTGGTGAATGGAAGATCGAGGACTGTTCGAATCAAATATCAGGTTTTTTGGTTGATTTAGTATGATAAAACTCGAGACTTACCCAAAGGATCATCGATGAAATGAGGCGCGGAACCTAATACGCGCTCGAGTTTCTTCGTCTTGCGGAGGAGCCGAGATCGCTCGAGGGACGATAGGCTGTTCGTCGTCGGTGGTGGGGGAGGGAATACAATTTTCGTCGTAGCAAGCATCGTTAGTGGGGATCGTTAAGACCGACATTCATCAACATCAGTACTTATACATCTAGCCATTGTGCATCACAAAAAGAAGGCGGACCCGAAATAAAGCAGACAGGCCATCTTATTGTCAACCACGGAGTTATTTTCCACCCAAGGCACGTAACCACTTACCTTATTGTTCGGAGAACAAAAACAAAAAGCATGAAGCCAAAGCATATTTAGAAACGTAAACACCTAAATAGAACGTCCTTGACGCATTGACGTGAGTATACGCGTGTACCTGGAAAGATGGGACGGGGAACTCGAGGGTTCAACTAAATAGTCAAAGATTCAGTACAGTAGCGTACAGTAGTATAGCAGTTACAGAAGGTGATTTATGCATGGCCGTATCATTATGACGGGGAAAAAATAGAAATCCATGATAAAATGGCGATAGATCACTTGAGAAGTGCTCCCGAAGAAAATTAGTGAGCTAAACCTGAAAAAAAAGAACAAGAAATCGAACACACGCTCTGGCCATTCTACCGCAATCCCCCCTCCAGATCCGTAGCAAACTTGCCCTCTCCATAGCCTCCCTTGATTGGCGACCCGTCATTTACGACCTTAACGTTCCCTAGAGACCCAAAGTCTTGCTGCATTGGGCTTCCGTCGGCGGGCTGCGAATTCCTCTCAGGCTCGTCCACATACGCATCGAGATAATCATACTCATCCGATACCGGGGAATCCAACCGTTCCTTCTCCGCAAAGCTATTTCTCCCACCTCCCGGGGCTGGCGGAAGGATTGACGCGTTTCCCTTGGGCGGCAAGGGTGAACCAGCGACCGACACCGACCGTTTCTTGTTGAACGACAACGGACTCGTATCTGCAGGTCCAGGAACGGGAGGTAGAGGAGGCGACGCTCCCGCGCCAAGGCTTGCAGCGGGGCTACTGCTAATATCGGCTGAGCCTCCATTGCTTGTCATCCTAGGTGGTGGTCGCCGGAAGGCAGCTGCGGATATGGTCCGCGCACCAGATGGGACCTGTGCGGATGAGGAACTCGACGAGGAGGATCTAACACGCCCTGCAAATGCTGGTCGAGGAGGAGGCAACTCGGAGGCATTGGCGCGGTAGGGAAAGTTGAGAGAGGGACCAGGAGAAGATTGACCGCCTGGGAGATGAATCGTGGCCGGCAATGGGCGGCTTTCGATTAATGGGCTGCTTTCGATTAATGGGCTGCTCATGGCTTCGTTGCGCGACCCAAACGAGCTCGATGCACGATGTGCCTGTGCATACGACTGCGCTGGGGTAGGCACGGTAATCTCAATATTGGAGATCGAACGATGCGCGAAGGGTGCTGAAGGAGGAGCAAGAGGTGACGGGTCGCGATTTGGAGGCGGCCCATAACCAAGCGAAGGAGCTGCAGGGAATAGCGGACGACCACGCTCTAGCAATTCTTCTGAGTCTTTTTGTGGAGAAGGTGGTGGTAGAGGTGGATTGAACGTTAGTGCATCCAATTCTCTACTGACTTCCCTAGCAGCAGCTGCATTCAACTCTCGTTCCTCATCCTCTGTTGACACTGAAGGCACAGGAATGCGACGAGGGGAGCGGCCAGAAGGAGAGTCCTTCTTAGGCTCCGACTCCACCTGGGCTTGGTGCCTCTCCACTTCCTCGTCGACATCACCGACATGCCCAAATCGAACATGCTTGTCATCTCTGTGCTCATGCGCAGCGTCTTCCTCGACCGCCGTATAAGCAAGTTCGGCTTCATCGGATAAGGCTCTCGATACCCGGCGCGAGCCTGGCTCAGAGCCGATCACAGCCGCGCCAGGGGGTGGACCAGGGGGTGGAGCATACAAATGCGAATGAGATACCTCATAAGAGGGCGCAGGTTCATCGAAACCGGGGGATTTCAACGCCTCAGCAATAGATGATGAGAAGGATTGTTCAGGCTCGTGACCTTTGAGCAAAGGAGTTTCAATGGAAAAAGGTGTCTTGACAGGTGATACCGAACCAGAAGACACATGCCTTTCTGTTTCTCCCCTCCAGGAACCGACTCTTTCCTCATTGCGAATAGCCTCGAGAGGAGGATAGGAGAGGGTGTCCTTCCTGAACACAGGTATTGGAGGACCGTCGGTTTGGCCTGACACGTCCGACGCATCGAGGAAATGTCCTCCGCTCATACCCTGCGATGTAGACAAAAAGTTCGGACTCGATGAAGCTGCCTCCAATCTAGCTGGTTGGATCGGCGAACTGGGGAAGGAAAGTATGGAAGGTCGCTGCTCTCGAACCTCAGATGCGACCGTCGAAAAACCAACTTGATTAACGGCCTTGTACGTTTCTGAAATAAGCATTTCCACCTTGGGATGTCCGGTGTACATCAACCTAGGCATCCCAGGCTGCGTGACGTCCTCTGGAATCTCCGAGACAATCAGTTTACCATAGTCTCCTACAATCTGCAGAGTGGATCAGGACATAAATCATAATGAACAGTTGAACAGACAAAATGAAATTTGAATCAAAAGGCATCGCAAATGCTGGACTGCCCCAGAATCCCAGTCTGCAGGCGCACGCGATCCGTAAAGGGGACTAAACAGAAGTGGAAACAAAAAGTAAATGTTATAGCAAAAGCTATCATTATATGGACCCGAAAGACATCAATCAGGACGGAGTAAAAACAACGTACCACTCCCTTTTCGCTCAACTCGAGCAAACCTCCAAATTTCAAGCCCATCATTGACCGTGTCGTAGACCGCTTGAAGTCTCCCAACGACGCCTCCTCCGTCATGATATCCAAGTCCATGGACCGAATTTGATCCCGGAGCTGGTTGAGGAGGTCCGTCTGCATCGCAAGGTTCTTGTGTTCGGGACTCATTTTGCTAAGCTTCCGCTCCGCAGCCTCGGCCTTGCTGACGACGACCTTTCTCCTCCTCCTGAGGTCGTCAAGAGCCTCTTCTCGAGCCCGTATGGACTTCATATGATCACGGACGGCATGCTCATGCGTGGCATACGACGTTAGAGCATGAGTGAAATGGGCTATAATTGATGTTGATGCACCCAGTGTATCCTAGCAATATTTAGACGAATATATTAAATATATAGGAAGCCAAACTCACGCCAAGATCCTCTCCTTCCCCTATACCCCATGCTCGCAATGCTTCCGCAGCCTTGGTCAAGTCGATGCTGAGTCTCTGGAGCCTGAATTTATTGGGCGATAAGCTAACACCTAGGCAAGTAGAGTACATACGATATCAATACTGATTTCTCCGCTGTGATAAGGTCCTGAAGAGGACGTATATCGCTATGGCCAGCTAAGGAAGGTAAAGTCGAATTGTGCGCAAACTTCGTTGCTGCAGTTTTGAACATTGCTGAGCTTTCGGGACGTCACCAGCGTAGCAGGTTGTAAATGATATGCACCTACAGTCCGTAGAGAATCGCCGTCGTGGTTAGGTGTAAAGTGCCACACGAGCCGGCTGTCATTTGGATGACACCGCAACAGTCTCGTATGATCATAATTATGTCATCCGTTATTTATTAAGGCCGCGGCCGGGAGGCAACTTAAAAAAAGTCCACTACTTTATGCACTTAGAAAGGAACAGTGCGTGGATTCTATCTATTCTCAGGTATTGCTGAAGTTTTCCTTCCGCATGTTCCTCGACATAGCTCGACAATGTATGTACCTTGAAATCCTTATAACCATTTTTGCCGTATAGATTTATTTTGAGGTAAGGCGTCGATACCGCAAAGTGGTAAGCATCAGCCGAGTCGTCATGTATCATGACCTTTAGCTGCGATTTTCAGCCTCTGGCAAGAAGATCGTCACTAACAGATGGAACGAATAGAACGACCTTTAGTTGGCGACTCCCAAGGACGATACAGGATCCACATAGTGGGATTTTTGTGGCGAGTCATATTATGAACTTGAAAGTACAGGGCGCGGAAGCTGAATCTTTTACAGGCACAGGAAGGGCGAGAACAGACGTCTCTTCCACAATTCTTTACCAATCGAACTTTCACTGAACAGAGCACGCTTGCGAAAATGCTATCCCAGCTCCTTGGCATCCCTTACGTCTCGCTCGACAGCCTATTCTGGCGGCTAGATTGGGAACAGACCCCCGATGCAGAATTCCAAGCTCTAGTGAGCCAAACTATGAATGATAATTCCAAAGGATGTATCATCGACGGTAACTACCAACGACATATCGGAAGGCATGAAATGCGAGATACCATGGCCGGTGCGCCAGCTAATACTCAGACCCTTCTCATCTACCACCCGCTCGTCCGAGTGGACGACTCAACTTTTCATATACAGACATCTCTGGAGCAGAGCAAGTGGATGTAGCCTTTTCCTTCGAGCTGCGTGGTTGACGGCCAACTGTTTTGAATGAGAAGAATTTTAAACAGGTGGATGGTTCAAAATTCATGTAGGCTACTACAAGCCTAGCCATTATTTCATTCCCTTCGTTGTGCATTTGACATATAAATTCCGCCATAGGTTGAATCGATAAAATCGACAAATAATGGATTACTCAAGTCCACTAGCAACGCTAACGATACATACGGTGGTTATCACCTTCGGGAGTTCTAGTCTGGGAAATCCTGCATCATGCCGAGGATAGTCGGGCTGTTATACATGTTTTCTGACGATCACCATCAGCTCCCGACAACATCGTCAACGAGGCGAAGAGCGCATCTTGTGACTGCCTTCGGCTTATGCGTGTCCTGATGGCTGAATGGATCAAGGTCTTGTGTTTCATGCTAACTACATATTTGCGTTCCCAAGTCCATCTCGTGAAAGCTTGAAGCCATTTATGGACCGGCTGCTTACCACTGTCCTCACATTCCATATTACTAGATGGTCGGATAATAGGATATACAGTGACGAACCCTCTCGGCAGGTGTATGTTCTTCTCACACGTTCCCATGCAAATAATTACGAGACCACCCATGACCTTTTACAAGTAACGGAGGCCTTTGGCCTGGCTCTGGGTATATAATATACTCTGCTTTCCTGGTTTCTTGGTACATACTCGTCACATCTCCCAGGTCTCTGCGTTGGACATGTCTTCTGGCACAATCGAGCTTTTTCCAGCGCCATCCAACGCCGCCTCTAGTCTGACCCCGGCCTTTCTTCCGGGCCCTGATGCGGACTCTACTCTAGCTTTGCAGAGCGTACTTCGTGATAATCACGACAAGTGGCATATTTTCTTCAACGACAAGAGGTTGCATAAGTAAGCCGTGCATATAGTCACCGTCTGGTTCAGTGGGCTTAACAATAAGGGCAGTCATATCACTCATCATGTATTGGCTGTCTGGGCTCTCGGTGCCAGTAAAGAAATAATCGAGGCCGTATATCATGAAGATATCCCCTGTCAAAAGCCCGCTATCAAATCTCCCGGCCCAATAACAGCTGAAAATTTCAACGCTCATTTGGGAGACGAGAAGTTCGTACCGTACTCCAATCCTGTTTTCAGAGCCTGACAGACATTCTAGATATTTTGACGCCTACATGTCCTTCTTCAAGGAAAAAATCGCCGAAAAAGGCACTGCTTCTGTGTTGGAAGCGTTCGTCTTCTCCGAGTCTGTAAACTCCGACGAGGCGATGGACGGTAACCAGCAACCGGGCATGCTCAACCGCCTACTGGGTGGTTTGGTTCATCCTATGATACATCTTGGGTACGGCCTTGAATTCGGATTGCCGGGAATGGTAGTCGAAGGGATGTCTCCAGTCATACTAGTTGTACGTGCACGTACTGACAATGATATCTCCAGGTCTCGCTCAGGCGACGGTCCACTATGACATCCTTCAAAACCTCCTGCCTTATTCTGCTCTGGCTTCCGTTGCGGCGTCAGATGCACTTGCGGAAAAGGCTACGAGCCTTGAAACGCCTCATCAACCTAGTGGGAAGAAAGGAACTCATGCTTTCGATGTTCTAGCGCGTGTTGTGAAAGATCATACGCTCAGAATACCTCCGAGTAACGACGAAAACGCGATAGAAACGACAGTCCAAGCAAACGGAGAGGCGTTGTTCCGGTATACGAATCAGTGGACGTTAGATCTATCGGATCCCAAAGAAATAAACCGGAAAATCGAGGAGTTGCAGTGGATGAACACGATCATCTACGCAATAGGCGGCTCTAGACCTGGAAAAAAGTTCTATGCAGACTTCTTTCTGTACGTGCTCAGTCGCAGGAAGAAATCTTCGGCTGACCATCTTTTTAGTATGCACCTAGTCACGTCGGCCTTATTTTTACCATCTTTGGTAACCTTCCTTTCCACCACGTCCCAGGCGCTGCTTCTCCGCGGCTATATGGCTGTGTCCTTCGCCTGGTGGATTTCTCGCGGCCGTCCTGGCTTCGATGTACCAAAATTCTTCGAGGCAGATGACGAGTCTGTAGTTTCTCACTCGTCTTCTGTGACGAAGGACTGGAAGTTGTCGTCCACACCCAATCCGTGGTTTGGGATAATTCAGCAAGCCTTATTCCACCGGGATGACCATCTGTGTAAGACACAGAGAGCCCTGGCATATTTTGCGGCTCTGTATGGTACGCGTCCTGCGGGTCTCCCTGATTTTTCGCAGACGGAGCTTCCGGGAGCTGAGAAACTTGATGGTACACTCTTCCTTCGAGCTGCTCAGTTCACGACAAAGCATTTTGTTGAACGTGAAGACGAGGACTTTGAAGTCGATGATCCTCTCTGGGATTTTAGGCTCGTTTAGGATCATCCCTGGATGACTGGCATGGATGTAATATTAGGCTTTAGTTCTTGAATTTGACTAAGTAACATCTGAACAAGTGATTTTTCCACCTCATCGTCTGCAAAGGCGAAGGCGAGCCATTCAGTGAGATAGATACTGTTGTCAGCATTTTGTATAACTGCATGTAGCTTTTGCCCGAAGTACGGAACTGACCACACGCGTATCATCCGCCTCGACATTTCTTTACCCGTCAAAATAAGATCTCGACCCATGAAGACAGATATTCATATTCAGTTACATCGTAATATTAGAAAACGTAGAAACAAAAGTTAACCCGATTCACTGAGTATAGAAACTCATGTGAAATGATCCATTTTTACGACGGCAAGGCTCAAATTGTAGTGTACAAGAAGGCATAGAACGTCTACTTGCCAATAATATACCCAAGAAATAGTACACAAAGTAGAAAGCAACAAGGTGGTGGCGTGAAGGTGTCGCTGATATGTAAGGCCAAGCCAAAAATAGTTCACGAGTAACGCAAAGGCGTAAGTGAAGCAGCTAATTAGCACTGTAGACTGGGGGCAAATCATCTTCTGGTTGCGGACGTGTGCGAACCCCACTGTCGACATGCTGGATAGGTTCGAAATATCCAGCCACGGCCTCCCCTTGGCGTTGCTTCATCTCCGCTACGCTATCACCGCCAAACCGACTAGCGGACGAGGATGACACCGGCGCTGTCGATGACCCTGGCGCTGCCGGTACATATGACAAAACCGTCTGGTGGTGTGACAACTTGGAAGACACGCTAGAAGTGGGACCAGCAAAGATGGGTTCTGTGAAAGACGACGTATCCACGCTGTCTCTAGCACCATCCCTGTACGAGACAACAGGGAAGACCGGTATTTGTCTCGTCGGTATAAAGGGTTCTGCGGCACCAGAAGTAAGAAGCGGAGGTCTTGGACCGTTAGAACCTACGAAATTACTAAGTGACGGATGTCATGCGAGAAAGAACGGATGTGAGCTTACCCGGAAATGGTGGCGGAGGATTGCCGATTGCGCGGGCACGCACCTCCCGTCGCTTTTGCCTAGACCGATACCATACAAATACAACGGCGACGACCAAAAAAACAAAGACACCTCCGACAATGCCTCCAACAATGGCGCCAATGTTGGCTGATGAGGAATCAGAGGAAGCAAGGGAAGCGGCAGCATCAGGGGAGTTTGCCGTAGGACTAGAAGTTGACGATGAAGGTGTTGCGAAACCGGCGAATGAGGAAGCTGATGCTGAAGTCGTTTCATTGTAGACATTGAAATAATCGAACCACACAGTCCCTTCAAGATCGCCGTAGCCTGTATTGACGTGCACCATCGTCACAATTAGTTCGCTGTATAAAGCCTGAGCCTTCCTGGAAAAGCAGAGATGTGCCCATAACTCACTGCTGCTCGAGCCCCAATGAATCCGACTGCCAAAACATTGCGTGGTAGATATCTCCGTCACCAGACGAAGATGTAACTCGTGTCGCATTACCACCGTCGATAGCGTACGACGTGATAACTCCAGAAGAGCTAGAGTCGTAAGTTCCATAAACTGCGATTTGAGTTCCTATAATTATAAGACGGTGTTGGTCTTATATATATATATATCGCAGGTACAGAGTGGGCACACCAGTGAAAGTGACTGTAAGATGGTCTCCGGTTGTCTTGGAGCTGGACACTGTACTATCGTACTCGTGTGAAGTGCCCCCATCGATCCAGGTGCCAATACGGGACACAGAGCTGTCTCTGTCGTCAATAGTAGTCGAACTCATGAGTATAGATGGCTGTTTGCAGAAGAGGGCACACTCTTATCTCATAAAAACACTTTCCCGGGGTTAACGTGTAATCGCGAGAGATCAAGTCCGTGCTTCTTTAAGATATGATCTCCACCCATGGAAGAACAGCCGATTTTGGGCTGTCCGAGACGCCTATGACACCTCAACATCCCAAATTTGTTATTGAGCATTTCTTTAGAAACTATTGTTTGACGGCGTCTCCAGGGGGATTGAAATGGGGTATTAAAGCGCGCACCTCACGTCAGACCGACCAGCGGACTCAATGCTCTCTTGTAAGCGATGCAGCGCGGGGGGGTTCAGCAATGCAAGAATCATCTAAGACATTGTATAAGCATGGTTTTTCACTAAAAAGTGTATGAGATACCCACGGGAAAGCGGCACTTCGTAGAATGGAAGATGCGCCACAACTACCATCATTTCTCGCTTCGCGATGTCGGTAAATCACTAGATCCAGATCGGCGCGCAGCTGAGTTGGATCTGTAAAGGCCGGTCCTGATAGTATTCTAGGACGAGGATGACCTCCAGAGTTGCCCATGTCCCAAGGAATTTGTCCAAAGAGGTGGGCGCATATATCCGAGAAAAACGGCGAGGGTAAATTTTATCGCCTGACTCCCGCATTTGAAATGACAGGCCAGATCATAGCGTTATGGTAGAGCAGTGATGTACACTGCATGACAGACGCCAGTAGCCTTGGAGTACGACGAACGGAGCGAAAATATTCACGAGACAGCGAAACAAAAATGCAGCTGGGACTTATATACTTGAGAGAAGTGGCAGCATCGTATATTCAGAACAAAAGCATGAATATGAACGATTGAGGCCCAGAGACGCATCGCAAGTTGCAACCGTAACGTACCGTAAGGGAATCGAGGGAAGCCTGATGAATCTGGAACCCTAACCTCAACACGGGATCAACACGATCACATGCCTCCTTTGATTACCAAGACACACGCTTCGGCATTTCTAGTATGCTCCATCCCTGAACATCTAACTTTAACAACAGCATTGCCCTACTATATTATCATTCGTCTTTCAACCTACAGAAAGGGAGTCAGATGGTGATGCTACCTTCAGGCTTGCTTATTCGGAGCTGCCACTGTGATAAACCGTTGTAACTTTTCCCGAAGGTTCTTGTCCTTGTCTAGTCGAACTATAGCATCCTCTATACATCAACGTTAGAAGAAGGCTACAGAAACTGAACTTGGTATGCATACCATACTTCATCAAATCTGATAATGTTTCCTCGAGCAAAACGCATCTCAATCACGGACCAACGTTAGCTATGTCAAGAAATTCGCGCTCATAAATAAAATATCTCGCTACAATGAAGGAGGTACGGTCAGTATATACGAAGGGTAAGACGGGCACAACGTACCACTGAAATGGGGCCAATCTCGCCGCATCATTTCCATTAGCTTGGAATAAGACAGCGACTCAATATTATGAGCTTTGGTCGCTTGGTTGCGATCGGTGGGAGCGTCAAGTAGATTTAAGATCATGAAGAATCGTGATACCGCATATATTACCTATTCCTGCATCTTCGGGATGGAAAGGGTAGTGAAGATAAGTGACATGATCCTACCCTACAAAACAAAGAAAAGTGTCTCTCTGAAGAATGCTTCAGTAATTCCGAATAACCACGCACGGCAAAATCCTACTCAGAATCATTCGGATCATGGATTTCCCATGCTCAAAGCGAATGCACACGGCGAGATAATCAGTCCAGAAGAAATATGCGAAACCGAATCCGAGAGCGAGAGCGAGAGCGATGATGAAGCCGCGATGAGAAGCGAGTCGGCGATTGCCGTCTCAGCTGGAACTAGTATGCGTCTTTTCAGGCTATCATTACTTCATCAGCCCCCGCCACTTGTCGTTAATTCAATAGCGAGGAAGTCGTCCAATCATTTCCCTATGGAGGATTGCCACCTAGCCATGGTAGAATATGTACGGTCGTGTGAGATCTTTCTTTGTAATAAGTATTGTAAGCACCTTCTATATATCATCTGACTGCACAGTGACTTGGAGGTGGTTTTAGTGAGAACCTTGAATGGCTTCACAGTTACTCTGGCACACGCGCTCAACACAACGCGTAGTCCCTCTGATGTGCTGCAGTAGTTCCGATATAATTGTCCAGGCCTTGTTAACAAATTCCCTTCATGAACGAAGGCCGATGTAGCAGGCTTCTCTGTCCTAGTATCGGACGTCATCTGCACCCATTTCTGGCCAGGGAAAACAAAAGGGAAAAACATATGACTCTACCGGCATATGTATGCAAACAAGTATATATACAGCGGCTGTTTCGTTAGATTCTCTTGCCCTCAAGATGCTCATAAAAGTACTGTTGCTCTCGTTCGCCTTTTCCAAAAGATGGACCGGAATTTCTGTAGCACTCGCACAGTCGGCTACAGGAACAAGCTTTTCGGTAGTATCTACCACGACTACCAGTACACAGAATCCCACAAGCATCGCCACGGTCACGGCTAGCTTTCCTCCAATTGGGTCGATTCCTCGCGATTACACACCGGAAGGACTGGAGCAACTTTGGGACCTCGTTCGTAGTCTCATTGATCGTCCCAGAAAGTGCTAATTAGATAACTAATCTCTAGGTCGGACCTGTCGAGCCGCCTCCGTTCACCACTACCCGCATTCCCAGCTCAGCGGTCACCCTACCGCCCTCTCCCCCGCTTTTGTATCCATCTTTCTATGCTCCTGCAGCGAAGGACATCTTGCCAGACCTGAAATTTCCTGAAGGCTTCAAATACGGCGTCGCCACGTCCGCGTACCAAGTTGAGGGGGCTACGAAGAATGAAGGGAAGGGACCGACTATGTGGGACTGGGCTTCTAGACAGCCGAACGGCGTATACGATGGCACAACCGGTAAGCATTCATGGTACATCAATAATGTTAAGTACCGAACTGGAATTATTGCAGGAGATATCGTTGATCTTCAATACTTCTTGTACAAAGAAGACGTCGAACGATCCGCTGCTCTTGGTGTCACTGCACATTCTTTTTCGTACGTATTGGAACCCAGTTGACGCGACTTTTTTGAAAATCGTTCCGTAGTATCTCATGGGCGAGGATCTATCCATTTGGCGCCGCTGACTCTCCCGTCAACACCGCTGGCATTGACCATTATTCAGATGGTACGATTTCATCATAAGAGTATCATAAGGGATGCTGATCATTTTCTCTGCAGTCATTGATTACCATTTGGCTCAGGATGTGGAGCCTGTCGTAACATTGTGTAAAATTTTTCCTTTACTACCATTCGAGATAGCTGTGTTTACCGACTGAGCTACAGTCCATTGGGATACGCCTCTTGCTCTTCAGGCTTATTACGGAGCTTTTACTTCTCCAGAAATAGTGGACGATTTTGTGAAGTGCGTGTTTAAAGGACGTAACAATTCATGTACTCATACAACTTCCAGCTATGCCAAGACCGTATTTCAGGCATACAACGGTCGTGTTAAAACTTGGTTGGTGTTTGAATGATCTTGTGCCAGAATAAGCCCAACTGTTTCAGGTATACTTTCAATGAACCGAGTGTTTATTGTGGCCAGGTCGCGTCCTCTCCATTCGGTAAACGTTCTGTACATCAAAACCTACCCTGAAAGCTCACCGTGAGACTAGATGCCACGCTCGCCCCCGGGGTCAACGCGTCTACTGCCCCTTATCAATGCGCATACAATCTATGTATTGTCTGCACGCTTCTTTCTCCTCCGATCCTGATGCTTTATTATAGTAAAGGCCCATGCAGCAGCCGTCAAGGGTCTGTCAACGAGCTGAAATAAAGCGCCTCCTCACTCATTCCTGTCTTTCCCAGCCTTCCGCGAAATGAACATAACCGGAGAGATTGCCTTCAAGAGCGACGATTACATGTAACTATATTCATTTCTCTGGCTAGTATTCACTGAACATTCCTTAGAGGCACACCATGGAGAAGCAACACCACTGAGGATATACTTGCGGTCGAGCGACATGCAGCATTCCAATTAGGCCTCTTCGCAAATCCCGTATACACAACAGGCGACTGGCCCGATATTGTCAAAGACACCCTCCCGGCCGAGTATCTCCCGCGCTTCACCGACGAGGAAAAGACTGATCTTCTTGGCTCTGCGGATTTCTTCGCCATCGATGCCTACCGCTCGCTATGGGTAAAGGCTCCGGACGAAGGGATCGATGCATGCGTGGCAAATACTTCCGATCCCTTGTGGCCCGTCTGTAACGAACCCGCATACTTTGACTCGGATTACGGCTGGCCCGAAGGTCCCGCTGGTGACCCCGCGGCCATATTCCTCCAATCAACACCGGTGGCCATTCGTGCTTTACTTAAGGGCATCCATTCTCGATGGCCGAGTAATAAAATGGTGGGTGTGAGGCTTTCATAATGAGTATTTCTGACCATGGGGGCCAGTACGTTTCTGAGTTTGGTTCCATCGAGCCTTTTGCCTACGCGAACGCGGATATATCGCAAATAAAGGAGGATGTTGGCCGAACAGGTACGCATTGGGAAACGTTTCAAGCTAACTAATTGAAGATTCATCTGCGATTTCCAGACTACCTCCTCACGTATCTCGGTGAGATGTTGCTATCCATACACGAAGACGGTGTTCCGATACAAGGTGCCTTCACTTGGGGTGAGTAGTAGTAAAAATGGAGTACGGAAATTCGACACTGACTCGTTTATAGGCATGGTTGACGACGCAGAATGGCAAGGTGGGACATCCGTTAGGTGTGTGCTTATAGTTCCGGGTTTAGAGGTTTTTCGGTCTTAGTATGGGTATAGATATGGCATTCAGCACGTCGATTACGCGACACTGGAGCGGACGTACAAGCGTTCGGCATTGTCTTTGGGTGAGTTTTACGATGCCTTTCCATGAGCACGAAGATTTACAACGACGAATAGCGGAATTCTTTGGGTCGCATCTTCAAGACTGAGGTGGGAGTTTGTCAGTCATCTTGTCTATGTATAAATATATGACAATCATGGACAAAAATCGCATCTATTTGACATCGAGGGTTGATCGAGAGAGATGAAGTGAACTTAAACAGCGAACCGTGCATAAAGTAGCGCGCGAGGCAGGAGAGATGAGGATCAGCGTGATAAAGCAAAAATGAAGCTTTCCCGAGATGCCCGGATGGTACGTGATTGGCAAAAAAAAAAAAAATAGGCCTTCAGTCAGGCGGTCCTCCTGCAGAGTTCAAGAATTTTGAGCACCGCTGGTTTGCGAGCCGTAGTCTTCAGAGGTCATTTACGGCAGGGGTCAGGGTACGCATGGATCCCTGCAGATACAATCTCATATACTGAATCAGGAGACGAAAAAAACTCACGCACGGTAGGTGAGATGCTTCTGGCAATACCAAATACTCCCGAACAATGTGTGGCAAAATAATGAGAAGTCTGAAACGAGTCCGAATGCGAGTCCGAGAGCGATCAAGAAGCCATTGTTCAGACGTCATTCTGACAAGGTCGCCGGGATTTCTACCAGATGGCAAAATACCGAATTCTCTGGTCTCAGATAATCCCTGATGTTCTTTTTCCTCCTGCTCTTCCTGTCCCGCCCAACACTGGCAGAAATCCAGCGACACGCACTAGTATCACGGTACAATCCCACCCGCAATGCATCCAGCCTCACCACGCCGATGCAAGTAGGCAATGGAAA